ATACGTCACGCTTACATCGAGGCGGGGCGGGGGCAGGGGCAGATCAACTCCTGAACAACAACAAAAAGCCAGCACTTTATCCTGTTTGTACACAACGATGGAGAAAGTTGACAAGCAGCAGTGGTCCAATGAAGAGACCAGCTACCTATTGGGAATCTGGTCTTCTGAAGAGGTACAGAGGAAGCTGGAGCACAATCGGCCATTGTTGTTGTTGTCGGTGTCAGCTGTGAGGGGTTTCCGCGCGGTTTGGCTTTATGAAGCAGGCACGCAAACGGTTACGTCATGACGCTAACGATGACGCAATGACGCAGCACCAGTCGGACTCTGGGCAGTGTGAAAAGAGCCGGAGCTAAACCGAAGAACCGGTTCTGAAAAGCTCTAGCACGGAGCTTGAACCGGAGTTGCGTTGGTGTGAATGATGTATCGAGGTTTAAGATCCACCTTAGTCTCTCGCTCTCATAAGTGATCACACATGCAGGTTTTTTAGAAGATTACAAAACATCTAACTGATCATGAAAGCTGCTTTGCTCTTTAACGTTCAGGTACATTTCCATCAAAGTAAGAAAACACATGAGCTACAGTTACACACCTGCGATCTCTCATAAATAACAAATGAGAACAGAGTGTTTATGACGAGTCAACGCTGATTTGCAGCAGGAACGGTTTCCTTAAAGGCTTCTGCTCAGATTCCTGGGTGTTTTTCCTGATGGATGCAGAGTGTTTCTAGCAGACCAGGTTTCTCGCCAAACTACCTGTTCTTTCCTATTTGAGCACTTTGAGCTGCTGCTTCATTAGTTGAACAGACGTGGCATGATGCAGCAAAACCTGAGAGGGGTGGGAAGACAGAGAAGTGATTAAATCAGGTTGCTTTTTGACCGAGTATCAAACTATACAGATTATTTTCTCGATCAATTGGTTAATGGTTTGGTCAGAAACTTTACTTTGAACAGTTAAGCATGTACAAATATCACAGTAGAGGCACAAAATACAAATATGAACCTGAACATTTGCAAATATCTTGTGTTAGATGGTGCAAAAGTCCCAAATATTCACTTCATATATGATGTTAAATAGAGAAAGCAGCACATTTCCATATTTAAGACACACACACACACACACACACACACACACACACACACACACACACACACACACACACACACACACACACACACACACACACACACACACACACACACACACACACACACACACACACACACACACACACACACACACACACACACACACACACACACACACACACACACACACACACACACACACACACTACACTACACGTACGTACGTACGTACTACTACTACTACTACTACTACTACGTACTACTACTACTACTACTACTACGTACGTACTACTACTACTACGTACGTACTTCGTTCGTTCGTTACGTTACGTTACTTACTACTACTACTACTACTACTACGTACGTACGTACGTA